ACCTACGCACGCCTGGCAAATGCAAATCTGCCAAACCGTGGGAACTGCCTGACAACCACGGACAGGAGCCTCCAGCTCCTGCCGAACCGGCAGCACCATCATCTGCGGCGGCAGCTGCATCCGAGGCACCAGCCGCCAAACAAACTGCGCGGCTACGAGCTCCTAGGCCTGGTTCCAGAGCTGGACCAACAGCAGGCGCCAGCAGCCACGACATCACAGTAGGCAGACACGCCGCTGAACCGGCTGCGGAGCAACCTTCCTCGGGCGGACCGGGTAGCTCGGACGACCACAGACCGGCCATCGAAGATAGTGGCTAGGCGAGGTCGGCAGCAAGGAAGGGATCCACCTCCACCACCACCTGCGGGTGACCCTGCTGAGCGCCCAAAGCTTCCACTGGTCGAGGTTCGACGTAGAAACTAGTTTACAGAAACTACGCAGCCTTGACCCAAGCGCGGTAACACGCGAGTTGCGAAAACTGCACTTGCGGTGGTTCCGCGCCAAGAAGCTTAAGATGAGACTCATCTTAACCAAGGCTGGCCTGGGCAGCGTCAGGCTGAACCTGATAAAGGGCGTCTGCGATACATGTCGGGAGCGCAGGGCTTGGGGCAAGCCAGGGCATACCGTTACGCCGTCTACTGCACTACCTGGCAAGTTCAACGACGAAGCCGAATGCGATCTGATGTTCTACAAACAGGAACACCAGACATTTCACATAATCGGTCGTTGCATTCGATACGGTGCTGGAATCGAGATACTGGATAAAACCATGACCAGCATCTTAGATGCGCATCATCAGTGCTGGATGCAATTCGGACCTGCCAATGTACTGACGGGGAAGGTGCACTTAACAACGACACCGCAAAGGCAGTCCTTAAGGCAAAAGGCACTGAGCTGAGGATACGTGCGCGCGGACAACACGCTACGACAATGGAGGCCAGAAATGACACACGACGACACTTATTTCACGTCATGGAAGCTGAACTCAACAGGTTAGGCATACCTCTTGCGTTCACACGTCTGCTGCATGAAGCCGTATGAGCCGCCAACGCATACATGTTTTACAATAAGATGTTTCCATACAACGCACTGTTTGGACGGCGACCAGCGATGCTACCCGACTTGCCTGCTCTGGACCACGAACAGCAGACGGAAACATCCGACCACTCAAGAACAGACTATCCGCTGGGTAAGCATTCAGACTATTAGTCATGCCTTTGCAGTAGCGAAAACAAATCGTGCACTACGGACCAAGACTACTACCACTGGTCAGCATTACTATGACGAAGGAGATCTGGTTGACTATCATCGTCCCACTACTACAAAGGACGACTAGGGTGGCCGGCATGGACCTTTCTCGGTCGCACGAAGCGAGCCCCTCAAGGGCCAAGTCATCATAAGAGCGGGGAACCGCGATGCACGAATCCAATGCGGCGACGCACGACATTCATTACATATCGAAGCTTTGATCGCTCGAGAAATTGGCTCGGACAACACAGCACTACGGACTGCGTTGACATGCGTAGCCAGTCTGCCTGCGGGGCGGCCTGCTATGACATGTGGCTACATCCCGACCACGGCCCAAGAAGCCCAACCACCACGGAAAGATGGACGGCACCCCACCATTCATGAGGAATCAGAAGCGGACCTCGAGGCACATATTATGGAGGTGCGGCACACAGAACTGCAGGGCAAAGGAGATCTGCTGGAGGCAACTCCAAGAGACGACCTCTACACTGTACCCACACAGATGATCACCGACAAGAGTGCGCTGGTCACAATAGTTGAAGAACAGCGGGGGCACATGCCTACGTGGGGTAATCCATCTGATATAGAGACAACGGAGTCCTATCATGTCCCACTGTGCCCCACGGACGAAGACGACAGTTATGGATTATATTCTCACGAGCACGGACAATATGTAGAACTCTGATGCACTGCAGATATGTCAAAAACAGCCCTATCCGAACAACACAGGATACTGGACTTCGACCGCGCGACCACTATGCGAGTATATGCGACCGCTGCAGCTAGACGAGCTGCAGTCGTCAAGGGGGGCGACCTCCTCACGAAGGCCGACATCCAGACGAATCCAGTCAAGGCATCTAGGGCCCTGTATACTGAACTCAAGACATGGTTCGACAACGCGTGCTTCAAGATACCAGATGCATCAAAGGCGCCAAACATCATGACCCCGAGATACGCATCTAAGTGGAATTTGTGAAGGACGAGAAGGACGATATGGGACGCACCATCAGACTACGCTTGGTACTTCGGGGGCTCATTGATTCGATGTGGAGACTTTCTCCGGAACGGCGCGGCGCGGCGGTCGAGTCAGAGACTACTCGCGATCACGGCAGCGCGCAGGAAGCAATGGATCATTGCTTCCCTTGACATCAGAGCAGCTTTCCTGAGAGGACTCACTCACCAGGAACTCGGTGAAGCAACCGATGAAAAAAGAACGCGTGGCGCGTTTTACACTGCCGCCTGGGTCAGCATCTGCGCATAGATCCCTTCCAGGAGCTGAGCACTACGATGAGTCGAAGATCTGCCCGCAGCGCCTCGAACCAGGCACCGGCACCAAGGACGCACCAAGAGCCCTCTCACTGAAGCTCAGAAAGACCACGAGAGGGTTTGGTCTCAGACCCACGTGCTATGGCGAGGAGTTCGAGACAAGCATCAACCTTCTTACAGCCAAGCACGTCGATGACATTAACATAGCCGGCTCTGAGGACACGGTCGACAGGCACGTCCAGCGCGTCGAGGATACGTTTGGCAAATGTAAACGCAACGAACACAAATATACAAATTGTGTCGCGAGGTGCATAAAGGACGGGGACGGTAACATTACACTTGATCAAGACGAATATGTAAAACAGCTCCGTTCTATACAACATCCTGAGCTCACTGGCGCAGACGCTGACGCCCAGGCGTCGAAGATGGCCACCGACATGTTTGTCAGCCTCAGAGGCGCCCTGGTCTACGCCCTGATCACACAGCTGCGGTTAATGGCATACGTTATATCTCTACAGCGTGCGCAAGAACCGACCAACATGCAAGTGCGACGACCGAACGCGATCACCAGAAAGTTGCAGGTTTCCCCTAAGAAGAACGTCGATCAATCGATGACTCCAGCGGGCGAGGTCGACCTGCACAGCGAGTCCAGTTACCGGCGTCTAAGCGGAGATGCCGAAGACGAGGTTGAAGGTTTTGGCATTCGCGGGGCAAACCTGCCACGGCGTGGACACGCCTGCTAGCAAGCCCGTCGCCCATCTCGTCGACGCGCACTGCAAGCCTCACCGCTTGCAGGTCCGCTCGACCGGAAACGCTAGGAGCAGCCCAAAACTTGGAGGACTGCTATCCCACGATCGTCACTCTGCGTGAACTCCACACAGGGCCGCTGACACCCACTTAATTGAAAGATACTCGAGATGGGCGGCCAGCGCATTAAGGTCACTCACTTTTGGGACACATCAGTTGGATACAACAGATGATGGAGCGAGGTATCGCGCATTGTGTGCAGTGGTGCGACACTCGCGACATGACCGCGGACGGTCACACCAAAGGGAGCATCGACAGAGACATGCTCCTACAGGTCATAGGAGGAACGCAAACCTTCAAGCATGATTCAGAACGACACACTCCACACAGGTCTGGCCAGACAAGATCGCCGGAGCCGCCTGAGGAGCAATCGTCTGCAAGGTGGCTTGCCTGCGAGGCAACTTGCTTGCAAGGGTACTTGCGCGCGGGTCAACCTTCCTTGTTGAGCCCGCCTGCTGCCGCTTACCTTGTGTATATAGCGTTTTGCTGTATAGCGGGCGGCGGACTCACGCTTCGTCTCCTCCCCCCCGACTAAAGAAGGTCGGGGCAAAGGCGAGAGATAGCGAGCGTTTGTCCGTAGCCATTTTGGCTGAAGCGGCCGGCCGCCAATATATGACTGCGCCTCATCGCGAGGGGCACGATTTGCCATTAAGACCGAAAACATCTTCGCTTGACATGGCCCGTCGCTCCCGCGACGATCTCCTACTTCTGGGACTATCGCTACTGCGGTACAACAGAGTTGGATATGGGCTTCGCCTTAGGCGAAGCCTCTGGCTCGGGTTGGGAGAACTCCCGCAGGACCCCATCTTTGAGCCCCCGAGGGCCGGCGCTGCAGGCGACGCGGGAGGCAGCTCTCGGAGGGCAGCGGGGAGGCGCAGCTGGCGCCCACGCGCCAGATCCACGGATCCATGATCCATGTCAACGTGCACCCGAGAGAAGGCTACCGAATTTGTTGTCCGCCAGCGGCGAGGCAGAGGCAGTCCGCTCCAGCGCGCGGCTATTCGGGGCAGCCGAAGGGCGAATTGTCCGGCGTGCGAGAGAACTTCGGAGGTCGGGGCAGATATCTCTGGGCGGCCAGCGCTGGCCCAAGAACTCCGCGCGGACCTCCGAAAGTTTACGTTGATGCGTTTCCTCGTCTGTTGTTGCAATGGTTCGGGTGTGCTGGCCATCGGCGGTGCTTACACAAGAGCCCCTCGGGGGTGGACAAAATCCCCACCCTGACACGTCGATTAGTGAATTGTCTGTTGTCTGTTCTCGAGAGGGCGCCGCGGCCGTCATTTTCTGGGCTTGCGCCCGCCAGGTTTGGGCCCGAGGTCGTTTTCACTAAACCACGTTTTACTAAAGGGGGTTCTGTCCATCCCCGAGTCCCACACCAGGGGCCCTGCCCACGTGAAAAGGGCCGGCTTTCCAGCTGATGGGAAGCGTGATTCCACGATGCATCAGTTGACCAGGACGGCAGCACAGCGAGGGTTCCAGAACGATTGCGCTGATTTCTTGGCTGACCTGTTGGAGGTCAAAGTATGCCTTGGAAGTCGATCCGACGCAGTGGCACCTGTTGAGAGCGACACAATTCAAGCGTGAAGCGACACGTTTCAATCGATTCGTATGTATATGTGTGTGCCAGGGGGGGTGAGAGGCCCCTTGCCACGCACAGCGGGCTGCTGATTAATGAGACCGCTGAGGAGCGAGACATCGAGCATCACCACCTCGGCCAGCGCTACGGCCAGTGGAACCGATGCTACTACGACAGGACGCCTTTCTGGGATTTGGGTAGGGGGTCGTGGCGCAGGGCCTCACACGCGACGCGATGATTGCACCCTCCGCGTTGTCTCACCGGCCCCGCTCTTGCATGACGAGGCTTCGGGCTGCGCACAGAGCACCCCCAGCAGGCAGCCCCAGCTGGGCCTCGACGGGCCCCCCCTGAGCGGCCTGGGGCGGGCTCGAGGCCCTGGGCGCCACCTCCGGCCGCGCCCCTTCGGCGCTGCGCGCCCCGGGGTCGGGTGTTGAGGCCGCCCCGGACTGCTCGGGGGCCTGCCGGGGCCGGCCGGGACTTGCTCCCCGGGGGGCCTGCCTGTGCGCAAGCCCGGCCACGCGCAGAGAGGGGCAGGGGGAGGGGGGAAGGCTTCTTAGAAGGAGGCTGCTTCTAAGAAGCAACCTCCTTCTAAGAAGCCTTCCCCCCTCCCCCTACCCCTCTCTGCGCGCCGCCAACAAGCAAGAGTCCTGACCGCTCTGGCATAGCATCCGGAGGTTGGTAGACCTCCTACCCCGACTCGTCGAGTGGCGAAGTGGCCGTTGTCGGTTCGCGAGAGGGCGTCGCGGCCGTCATTTTTGCGGGTCCAGGTCCGTCGGTTTCGGTCCTAGGCCGTTTTCACTAGAAGGAGGTTCATCAAAGGGAAATTTGTCCACCGCCGAATCAGATTCACCCGCCTCCTGTTTCTCGTCATCCGCAGTGTAAGAGCGAATCTCCGTCGGGCCGCCTGGGCTGCAGCCGATGAGCAGTGTAGCGCACCCTACGCTCAACGGATGTCTGCTGCTCGAATCAGTGTGGCCTTCTCTAGTGACGCGGCAGCTTGACAGTGGCACGAGCCTCTTGTAAGGCATGAAAGTCAGAAGCAGAATACCCCCAGGCACTACCACCTCCACGACCACTCTCCAGACCGAGACAGTGACAATGATGGTGGAAAATGTGGACTACGATTCGCTCACGGCCAACGAGACACTCATGGATTCGTTCAAGCTCGCTTGCGCCGAGGCAGTTGCCACGCAAGCAGGCGAGGGTATCTCGGCCAGCGATGTGGAGGTGACAGT